TCGATATTTGTTCGGCCACAACCCTGGTCCCGCATATTTGAATTGGCGCCACTGGCTCTGTCCCAAAAAGTGCACACATTTGGTCCAAAGTAGCTTTACGTATGGATGAACTTCACGAGGTACGTCTCTGGTAAACGCATTTTTTTTATACATCTGCTCTTTATCATTAGCATTAGGAATTACAATGTTCAGTGGCTTCAGTTTAAAGAAAGGAAAAGGTGTAGTGCTCGACGACTTTGCAACTGTGCAGGAAATGAAAGAACCCGAGGGATACTTGTTGTTGTTTGTGCCGTAGATTGGTGTTAAAGCCTTTATTACGAAGTCTTGTTACCGTCAATTCGCTACAAAAGTTTATTGTTGATTATTACGCTCAAAAGTGTGCCCAGTCCGAGAATAAAAACTTTTGAGACTGACGAAAGCAGTTTTGAAAAAAATAGTATTTGAAATGATGAAATTTGGCCAACAAAAGAGGTGTTTATTGAAGCGCGCGAAGCAGAAAGCAACGGCTGAAAAGTGTAAGGTGTATGAATTTATATAACTGAGTTGGATATATGATATATTTGCGCGAATTCTGGTCAGTATTTGTTCTTATCAGGTCATGTAACTTAAAGTGTTTTAATGCTTGTTGATTCCGTGAAAGTTGTCGTTGATGGCTTTTTAGCGATGTATATATGTACAGCCACAGTTATGTAGCCACTGCGTAAGGCCTTTGATGTAGAAAGTCATTTATTTATTTATTTTTTTTTCAGAGCTGATTCGTGTTGAAAAGTTTTAATGGAAGACTTTGCGATAAATGAATTACAAGCTTATGGAATTCCCGTAGATGACTCGCTGCTAGTGTACAGCGGTCGACCAGTCCGCATTAGTAATGGTATAATAGCTTTTTTGAAACAGAGGTTTGGCGTAAAACACTCGTTTTCAATATTTCGTCGCCTAATCGGTGTTGTTCTCGATGACGACTATCGTGGAGAAGTAGTGGATAGAGATGTTTTTCGAAGAAAAGTCCGCTTGATCCAAGAAAAATTTGAAAGGCTGAGCAATAGTATGTTCATCTGAATATTTTGCATTTAGTTTTTTAAAAGTTTTGTAGTATTAGTCACAAGTGCTTTTTTGAACCACCCATGGGTAGTTGATAAAGCTTTCTCTAAATTGTTTTGGTAAATTTCCTTCAGAAGTTCTGGATAAGGATGCTTCGAATGCGTTTTTGGCGGAAGAGTTTGTACACGATTTCCAGTTTATGGACAAAGCAGTCAAAGAAGCTGATAAAAGAAAAAACTTGAGGTTAGAGAAGAGTAACACACTCAACATAGTGAGGGGATCAAATGACAGGAACGAAGTTATGGATGTGCTTGCTTCGTAAGTGTAATTTTAATTCAGCTCATTGTTTTTTTACTTTGTGACATTGAACTATTTTTTTACTGGTTTTTAAGGAATTTATTTGGACAATTTTTTGTCTAGTGGTTTAATGCTTTAGTCTGTGTCGTTTTTATTATTACGTGTTTTGGATCTAGTACTGCGGCGCCAAGTGATAGCAAGCCAGCTGTTACGGTGGGTATGCCATTAAAGAGACGACGAGGCAAGAAGAAAACTATCCTTGAGAGAAGACCAAGGTCTGGTGTAAGGAGAGATCGTTTGAAGAAGAGCAGGCAGTTAGTGCAGAAGAAGCTGCTTGTCAAGCAGCATCCTTCATTTGTTGGAGAAACGAAACCGACAATTGCGAACACGAACATTTCGGAAGTAAAAAAGCGTAATAACGGGGCTGGAGCTTCTGAAGTCGTAGAGATTCCTGATGAAGGTGCTTTTCTAATCTTTTGAGAACACTTTTGCTGAATAATAACTTATTATTTTTATCTCTTTGTATTTACTCTTGGTAAGGTGGGGTAGAAAAGCCTCTCGTTCATCGCAGCCGACTAGACGTTCAATTTTTTATATACCTTACAACAAATAGCTTTAGAAACGATCGACAAAACAGTATGAGCATCAATAAAACGACTGCAGTTATTTTTAAATGTTGGTATGAAATATGAATTTCCTCATATTCTTTGGCCTTTCTGTTCAGGATTTTAAGGTAGTTTTGACCCAGGATGCAGAAGGAACCGTTTGTTAAATATTAAGGTTCGTGATAAACGGTTTCAGTAACGAGATTAGGAAGGGTAGATGTTTTGCGGTGCTGTATTTCACTGATCTGAAGTTACATCGTTGAAGAAGCTTCATGTTTTTGAGTCTTGCCGCTGTTCTTTGGAAACGACTACAGGAGGGGCTATAACTGATAGGTTATTGAAATGCTGGGAATTGAAAACGTTACGGCATGATATTTCTTAATTTTCTCTACGGTAGTGAACTGTTAGACATTTTGTACAAAGTTAATTCTTTGTAGTTTGCAAAGGATGCTGAAACTTGGTCTTTCTAACAAAATTGCCAAACGAATTTTGTGACTGGGAGTGTTTTTTTCTGTTAATATGGGTTTGGACTACTTCAGAGTGATTTTTCAGCGATGAAATCCAGTCTTTTCAATTAAACTTGGTTATTAGTGGTGACGTATTTGCAGGTGTTCAAGCTGTAATAGACACTAAAAATTTTAATTGTTTTTAACAGTTGTTCTGGAATTTATAAAGCTTACTGCTTGCTCGGTGACGGAACACACTTCCCTTCTTTGCAGTCTGAGGCTGGGTAAGGATTCCCCCGTTCTGGTGTGAAATTTTTTTTCGAATTTTCGTTAGAGTTTTCATTAGCCTCTTAGATAAAATTATTTGGGGTAGAGGATTCAAGGCATGGTAGGTTAGAAAGAAAGGTTCGAACTTATTGCGGCTAATTTTTCAAAATATATTTTTAGTACTTCTTGTTCTCAGGCAAAAAATTAAGAGTGAGGTTGGGAAGGCTTTTGATTTTTACAGAAGATGCTCTGCTCCAAATCTCCGTTTGAACTTCTCGTTTTCAAGCCAGAGAACAACAAGAAAAGAACAATTGAAGAAAGTGTTTTTTGACTTTTCCTATATGCAATCTTGAGTAGAGTAATTTAAGTTCAACTGTCCTAGTTTCTATTTGAATAAGCTTTTTCTTTTTGCTTGTTGGTAGGTCTCTCTTCTGCAGCTTTAATCAATGGCCATCAAACGGTAGATTTTTCTTTAGTTGGTCTATCGAAGAACGAGTCTTTACGTGGATGAAATTGATTTGATCAAGTCACGACTGCTTTATTGTTTCTTATTATGCACCTTTATTATGCGCTGATAGTTTCATCGCTCTGTTTTCATTGTGCGTGTAGGTCTAGTTTTTTTAAAAGTCTTCTTGCTACTCCTAGATATTCCGAACGTTTTTTAGATGAGACTCCTTTGAAGATAGTGGAGCAGGAAGAAGTTGAAACAGCAGCATCTACTTCAGGAACTAATGAAGAAGCTCAAAAAAGTAAATTCTTTTGTACATTTGGATTCATCAATATTTCGGAAGCTGCTTTCCTCAATTATCATTCTTTTGTCGTTTAAACGATGAGATATTTAAGAACATTTTTTACTTTTGCTACTTTCGTTCTTTATTATAGGTTTACGAGCTGCTTTACGCAGGGAAAAGTTAGCGAAAAAAAGAATTCAGGTTCTGTCCTACAAGCTAAGAGATGAAAAACTTTCACTGCAAGAGGCTCTCAGAAAACTAAAACAATTAGAAAGAGGTCGAAACATCAAATCTGAAGCTGCTGTGGATGTAAGTGACTGTTTTAAGTTGATTCGAAGGTTCTGCTGTAGGCTTCTATATTTTTTTACTGAAATTTTTATCAAATTTTAGAATAAAGTGGTTGACTGGAAAGAGAAAGCCAGTTTGGCATCAAGAGAGCTTGAATGTCTGCGGTTAGAAGTAGCAAAACTTCGTGAGTCAAATTGTCTCTTAGCGGAAAGGTGCTACCAGTTCCAGAATGAAGAGGTTTTCTTAATTTAAAGGAGCATCTTAATTTTTAAATTATAACTTTTATGGAAATTGGTTGTGTGACCTTTCTTAAAGCGTTTGATTTTTTTTTAAAATTTCACTGCTTTTTATTAGGACGAGCGTCTAATAGTGATTTTTGATCCAGTTTTAATTACTTTTCAGGTTGCGCTGAAACCAAACGGGAAGTTTTTAGAGGATTTGAGACCTTGCTTAAAACACTTAATAAGTATTGGTGTTCCTCCTGAAAACTGCGGGGAAGTTTTGGTTGTCGTCGGAGCACTTTTTGGCAAGAAACTGGTTGCTGAGAAATCTGTACTTTTAAACAAAACGCCTAGTGGTACTCTGTCAAAAAAGGACTAATTGCCTAAACATTTTGGGAATAACAATACAAAGATTAATGTTAAGTAAACTTACGGTCCATTTTAGTAGTAACCTTCCTACTTCAGAAATAACATATATCTTACTACAGGTTGTAGGAGCTTCAAAGTGTTTTTAATAGTCAGGTAGAAAAAACTTATTACTTTTGACGCTTTTCAGAATACTTCTGAGTAACTATACACAGTCCTGTACCTGTAATGGTTTTAAGTTTCTTGATTGAAGTTGTGAATGGCAGAGGAGTAATAAATTAGACAGTAACGCAAAAAAAAAAGGTGGGCCTGACGGGTTTATTTCTTTCATACCTGTTTTACTTCACCAAATCAGCTTGTAAATATTTTTATGTTTTTATAGAATGAAGTGAACTTGGTTTTGAGAAATTTGAGTAACGACAGATGTTTCTTTATGAGTTTGGCTTCCGTCATTTCTAGTTTGGCCCACTTGGCATTTTCTGAGTTCTGATGTTTTAGAGACTTTTTTTAACACAGAGCCTTATTTACGATTTTAAGTGATAGATATTCTTAGTCATAGTTCAGAGGTGAACAGTGATGGAGTTTAGCGTCATTAACTTTAGAGCTTATGATCTCTCGTCTATTTTAACAGAGTTGAGAAGCATTATGTTATTTTTCCGTGATCTCTGTGCTTCTTTTGGTTTTGTGTGAGATTTATTGAATATCTTGTTGCTTAATAAATTGAGATGTATTGTTGATGTGTTTATTTCAAATTTCGTAGCATCACTGGTAACTTATTTTAGTCTTCTTGCATATTCCTCGGTAATCTGTAAAACCCATGTTTGAAACACGATTGATTTCTGAGCGGCTCTCACTTAATATGTATGTTTTCGCGTTGTGAGTAATATACGTAGTAAAACTGTTCGGAATAAGACTTGTTTATTTCGGTCATAGAGGTGCTTTTAAGTCCGAGAATTTAAGTTTCTGATTCCTAATGACAAAATTAGAAATTTTTCTAAGTTTAGAATTGCTACCGTACCACTAGTTAATGTGGTTAGGTGTTTTCAAGTTATCCGATTGAAAAGAAGAGGTTATTTAGATTACTCGAATTGGAAGAGGGTGGTTAGACAGGCTATCCAGTGGGTCAGTCTTATCAGTTTATTAGATTGAGTTTGAAAGCACCTAGGCTCGGTTTTGCAAGTTCATGTGTTAGTTTGGGTACCTAATTTTTTTCTGTGGTTTAGAGGCTTTCCGCTCTCTAAACAGGTTTGTTATGACCAGTGAGCAGCAAGGGGAAAAGTCTGCTAGTGATCTGTTGCTTATGGAACTAGTGAACTGTGAAGGTGTCCAGAGTGTTTCACCATGTCATGTATTGAGTTTGCTTTCAGCATTGTGTTCCCGATGACACGGAAGTCTGGTTTGTACGGCATACCTGATGAAGAATTGTAAGTTTATTGTTAGTAAGGGTTTTACAACTTTACAACAAAAGCATATATTGATATGACGAAAGCGAGCTTAAAGCAGAAAATTTAAAAAGCTCATTTTAGGAAATTTCAAAAGTGGCAGATCATTGCAGGATGTATCAATATTAAATAATTAGATGAAACGGGTGATTAAATAGGCGTAGAAATTAGCAGTGAATTACCATTTCATGGTTTTAAACCTAGGTTGTGCGGTGGTCATTCAAGTGATTATCTGTACGGTGGACGGAATGTTAATTTTGATAACTGTCCACTCGCAAAAGAGCTAGAAAGTGACATCGAACGGCAAATTAAATGTAGATTAGAATCTCTCATAATTCAAAGGAAAGAATATCGGAATGCAATTTCGTTGAAGGTAGCAGAGGAAATGAAAGAAGAGGTTTTGATTTTTATTATTATGTACTACACTCTCACAGTTGGGAAATCCAGACTTTTTTCAACAATTTTGGGTAGTCTTCCAAGCGTTATTAACTTCCTTTAGTAGGGCAGGACGTTATGATAATGTTCATGTTTTATTCTCATAAATAGTAATTTATTTTCAGTTTGGTAGCTGCTTACAATCTCAAATTCCAGCCAGTGATTCTTCAACGAGGAGGAGCAAGTAATAAATTACCTTCTTCAGCAGTTTCTGTATCGTTCTTTCAGTTTATTATTTGAAAATATTTCCTTGTCTACTGCGGAGTAATTAAAGTAGCAATTGCTTTAACAATTTCTTTAGGTTTTTGAAACTTGATAGTTTTCTGGAAGCATTATCTAAAGAGGTAAGTTAATTCAACAGTCATATTATTCAACACTCAGAATCTTGGAAATTTTATATTGGTTTGTATCTGGTATCTTTGGAGGATTCCGGTGTGAAGGTTAAGAGTGAATCAAAGTTGAATATTATTGCAAAAAAGGACGATCCTCTTGCCGTTGAAAAACAAAAAAGGTAGATTTTTTTGGAGTTTTTAATTCAGATATCATGTAAGGTGAATAAATTTATCGAATAATCGTGTACTACCAGTGTGTTGATTTTAGTAATATTTTTATTTGCTATCAGTCAAGGTTAATGAAATAGTCTTTTTTGTAGTACGTGACTTCATCTAAATAATACTTTATTTAAGTTCTTCAAGTACACTGCCCGCAGAGGTGCCCGTAAGGGCAGTAAACGTTGGATTTTCTTTCATTCCAGCTAACTTTTCTACCCCGAAAGAAAGGGTTTGTGAATTTTGAAATTTGGTTTTTTCACATTTCTCTATTGCTTTTTATAAAGCGCCGTTTGGTTAACTGGATCTAATGATCTTATCATGGCACTATAATTCTTGGTAAAATTCGTTTTGTTTCAAAATAAGAAGTGTTTAGGTTTCGTCTCATGGTCAGCCGGCGTCTGTAACACCCTCACAGACGCCATCAGTAGTATACAAAAATGGTCACCCAACACTCATGCGAACAGATACAAATGCTGGTCACGTATCTTTTGATCCCTTATCATTGGTTCATAAAGATACTGACCTAACAAAAACAAAATATCTTGATTCAAAACAGCCAGAGACTTCTACTTCACTTCACAAACTTCTTCCAAATTCTAATGTGATTTCGGTACCTTTGTTGTCCGGTAATGCGGACTCAAATGCTGCGAAGCCAGAAAGAAACGTCGACAATGAACAGATTAAAGGGTTCTTTCCTTCTAAAGAAAGTGAAGTGCCTACGGACACACCAGGTTTTCACTATCTCCTGTATTTCTTACTTTAATACTAATTAAATATAATTAATCTCTTCAATTTTTGGAAATAATTTTTTAGGGTTTACTTAGGGGTTACAATGAAAATGAACATTTAATAGTTTATTTTTTATTTTTGGTATTCTGTCAGTCGATTCTTTATTTTGACTTGCATTTATTTACAGGACCTTCCGCTTCATCGTCAGCACACTGCGATGGCGAAGAGATTTTACATTGTGATGGGCATACACTTTTTAGTTTTAAAAACATATGGGTAAATAAATTACCGTTTGCAGACATAATTAAACTTGAAGACGTTGCAGAAGCGTACGTGACAGAATTTGACAAAAGGCCCAAGGCGAGTAACTTTATAAACATTATCAAGGCTTTATAGCTTAATAAGGGATGCATGGGTGTTTAGCACCATTTCGTAACAACTTTATTTGAACAGTTATCTTTAAATTTGCGAAAATGTGTGGTATTTAGGACGTTTTGCACAGTCTGGCGAACCGGTCTGTGAAGGAAAAAATAGCATGTTGGACTAGGAAAAATGCTTCTAAGGAAGTGATTAAAACAGCTGTTGAATATTTCTATGATCTGCTTACGGGCAAAACAGTTTATGGTTTTGATGGTAAAATGCTGAATTTTAATGGAGACGAACCAGGAACCAAATTTTCTATGGCTTCAGTGGTTAATTCATATGTAGTAAGTGATGTATTTATTTGAAAAAATCATGTGTATTGCAAACTTTGTATGACTTGCATTTGTTTTTTTCAAACTTGAAAAATTCAAAAGAGTCAAAATTTGCTGACGAAAATACTGCAATTTTGTTTGTTTCCATTCACTTTGAAATTATTCTTTTCAGAAAGTCATTCAAAAGGATAATCTTCTTCTCGAGTGCGCTGCAACTGTGCTTTTATCCCTTGCAATGCGTGTCATGGGATTCAAGTCTATGTTGTACACCAAATTATTTGTTGCTTCCCCGTTACTTTGTTTGGACAAAAATTTATGGTAATTACTTAAAACTTAGTAAATTAGATCACTTTCTTCAATTATTAACCACTAATTAATATTAGCATCAGAGAGCTGGAGAAAATTAAGTTTGATGATGCGAACATTAGCGAGATTATTAACTCATGGTGCTCCAACCAGTCAGCTGTTATAAAGCTTTTCGTTTTACTTCACTGTCCGGACATAGGGAGAAGTGCTGTTGTTAAAGATGTCCGTTTTGACTTGACTCCAAGGTTGTGGTCTTTCTTAGCCGCTGGGGTAATGAATCAGTCCCCATTTGCAGCAGCTCTTGTGGCAGAAATCTTGAAGGTGGCACTTTCAAAAAATTTTTTTTTCAAAAAAAAATACAGAGCTATGAAAAGTTTGATTTTTTAGTGAGCTTGAATGCGGTCATTTTTGTCTTATATCTGAATTGTCCCAGCTGGATGCTTTCCATTTGCTTTATTATTACCATTGTAATTCTTTATTGTCTTTAAATTTACAGCTGTCCGGTGCGCATTTGGCAAAAGTGTACGGTATACAATTTCGAAAATTACTAAGGTATGTGTCGCATATTACTGTGAAGAATTGGAATAATTCTTTAGAAACTGATCAGTCTGTTCATGGTCACTGTCGAATGGCTGTTAGATACTACCTTTCAGTTTTGGATATTGCGTTGAAAGAAGTTTTAGTAAGCTGACAGTTGATTATGGAATCATTCTTTTAAACTTATTTTTCAATTTTAACATATCATTAAATTGTTTCATGCGTATTAGAGAAGGTATCTTCGTTTTGGCTTCGTATTTTTGGTCTTTTGACCAAATCGGGTGCAATTTTTAATGAACTTTCTATTTTATTTTCCTTTTCACATTTTCTCTGCCTTTGTGCTTTTTAGTGGGAAAAAAGCTCTGTGAGGGATTGAGCTTTTTTTGAACTGCGTTCCTTGTAGACCAAGTTGTATATAAATGAAGCAAACCTACTAATTAATTTCACTGTTTTTGTGAACTTGTAGTTGTGCGTTGTTCTTCTTATTCTTTTTTTTCTTCTTTTATAACTTTTGAAGGGTGCTGAAATAATGATTATGGTTCTTAGCTAGATTCGGTGTTTTCTGACTGGTATTGTTTTACTACTCCGTACAGAAACATTAAAGTTCTATTGTTCATTTTATGCCTATAACCTACAATGTTGCATGCAGTTCGTTGCAGTTGCACTTTTTTGCTTTATCCTCAGACCGATCTTCAAACACGAATATGCTGTTATCTTCTTTACTCCATTTCACTGTTGACCTGTTTGGCATTCAGTAAAGTATTTACTTGTGTGTGGCCACTGAAGAAGTTATTTGGGCTGTAAAACCCTTTAACCGGACTGATTATTTTTGGATGTATGCGTAATGGTATCATTTTTGTTAACAGCATTCCAAATTTCCTTGGTTGGAATTATAACTTCATATTACAGTGATTTTTCTTTGAACGTTTCCGGATAAGAGGCTTCTCCTCTGTCCTCATTTTGTACGTCTTTTATCAAACAACTAATTTTCTAGGTTCTTCAAGTGTACCAAAGGGCTGGCACCATGAAACTCATGACTCACAATTTCCTATCTTCAAAATTTTTGAAGGGTGTTGTTAATGGCTATCCTCTGCTTCTCTCTGCAACTAAAACTGAGGTACGAGTCTAGCTTGGAATTGTTCCGGATGTGGAACGCGTGAGCGTACATTTAGAGTTCCTACCTGGTTTTCGGGAAACCTCATAGTTCCTTTGAAATTCTTTTTTTTTTTTGATCTGTCTTTAATCTTGAGTTTGCAAATTGATATTTCCTGAATAATGGGGTTTTTATTCTTGAATTTGGTGGCGGGTCTTACATTGTTGTCCAAAATGTTAGTGGTTCCATCGTCACTTGGATTTGCGCTTTCTGAAAGTCTGTCCCACTGTTGGTGCAAGAAATACTTTGAAGTATTGTAGATCAAGGAGTTTGATTATAATGAACAGTTTGTGAAAAAAATCGTCCCAAGATTGGATTACGGAGTTTTAAGACTGGCAGCAGAAAGTGTCGGAGAAGCAGAAGGACTTCCACCTCAAATTAATGACGGATGGGAAAACGATGAAGAGTTCTTAAGAAAGGTACTTTTTGATACTTTTATTTTTACAGAAGTTATAGAGTTCTTTGATTGAGCCTGGTCGGTCTTTTCACTTGACGGTCGTATTGAAAGTGAGATACAACTTGTCTATATATTGAAATTTTCAAAAGCAAAATCTGATGCTCAAACATCTTCCAGATGAATAATTACAATCGGCAACTAAGTTAGTCTAGAGTGACAGCTACTTTTTTTTTTAGCTCCACCGTATACTGGTGTCTGTTGAAGTTGTTGAAGGTGAACTTAAATGCCCAGAAAGTGGAAGAGTTTTCCCAATCCGAGAAGGAATACCTAATATGTTGGTAAATGAAAATGAACTTGAGTAGAAAAGTGCACTGCGCTGGTTACCGGCGTAGATAGATGGACTGTCTTTCAACATGTGATTTAATTTTGAGCAGCAAACAAAGGACTACCGTTAGTACTGCTTACTGGTACTAACAGCAACCATACAAAATAGTGCTTTTGTCGTTTCTTTGTTGTACGTTACAATTTGTCGTTGCTAACTTAGACAGTTAGACACTCTCCAAAAAGTAACTTGTTACTGGAAGCATTGTTCAGTTACTTTTTTTT